CACAGGCCTGTTGCCATCAAGTTTCTCCTCAAAGGTCATGTGGGAATCTGACCCTGTGATGTATGAAATGAAGCTACTTTTCAAAGCTTGATTCCAAACATCTTACTCCTGAAAATGACAGTTGAGTTGGCCATTTAGTTCTTGTCATTGAAGTGGAAAGCTTCAACCTGCATTTTCACTCTGAAGGCTGAACCCATTCTCTACTGAATGCTGTTTTATAGTTTATAGTTTTCAATCTCATGCCTTGTTCTCTTTTCGATTCTACAAAAGCAAAATAAAGCTTTTTGGATTTGCTTCGAGTTATGGGAAAAATCTAAACCTAATGATCTTGAGAACACTGACTGCCCCAGGTTGCAAAATCTGAGTGGTGACTCCCGCCAAAAAAAAAAAACTAAGCAAAAAGAGTTTTGTAAGAAGAAACTTTCTGTTACTGGGAGAAAGAGTAAGTTCTTGACAAAGTCAAATGATGGCCAGAAGGAATGGATTATGATTTACTGTTTTCTGTTCTCCTCAATCCTTCACTGATAGGAATTCAAATGAATGAATGAATTTTCTTTGATTCTAGACACAAATACCTTTAGCAGGGTATTCTCTAAGCTCAGTACAGCAAATTGTTTCAATTAATTTCAGTTTAGCGGAGGTGATCTTCGGATTTTGTTGAATCCCAACACTAGAGAGCTCAAGGGAAATGCAGTTTTACAGGAATTAAAAAATCACTCAGTCTGTTTCATGTTACAATTTTGTTTTTTTTTCTAGGATTTGTCTAAGAATTGCCTTAGACAAATCATATGCAAATGAATCAAAATCTTTCAACATAATACCATTACAATGAATACATTTAAAAAATAATTGAATGTGACATTTGCACATTATTTTTAGTTACTCAGTTTTAAATGTTTCGTTGTATCTCTTAGCCCAATACTATTATAATGTCTATAAGGTTCATATTTCCCCTGTGAAGGAGCTTGATATATCCGTGTTTGATTGATTTATCCATTTAGCCATGTTTGCCTCTGAATAAAAATTAAGAAAATAAGAAAAAAAAATAGAGACACAAAGTAGGGTCAGGTAAAAAAAGATCTTCCAAATAATGCATTTGTTTTTTCAAGAAAAACATGAAAAATGCTGTCCTCATTAAACCTTTTTTAAATCTACACTTTTTTATTGTTTTACAGATACAGATAATATACTACTAATACACTTCAGCGGCAGAGATCTGTGTGTATCTTAGATCTCAGCAAGACTGCTCTTTATCAGTTTATACATTCTGGATATACAGTATGCATCCTGATGTTTTTGTGTGTGTTGTCAGTCAGTCATTATAGCTTTTGTTCACAAGTGACTCATTTAGGTCTTGTGCAAAGTGGTGATTTCTTGTCCTCACTCCAGCCGAGTTTCTAAGCCGAGCGAAAAGATTTGCTTGGCCGGACCAGTTTCACTTTCCCCAGATGATAAACAGGGCATGATTTAAAGATGGCTAATAGGCTCTGACCCTTGAAAGATTATTCTCCATTGTTGCCTTTCTGTCTGACTGCTACTTAGCATTTAAAGTGCTTATTTAAAATCCATCCACATTCTTTGGAATTCGTCACTTCTGGAATGCATAACTCATGGCAGAAGAGCGATCTGCTGATTTTAGACCACTGCCTTGTACCAAAATGAATGGCCCCATCAGACCTGATATTTTTTGTCCTTCAATCACAAGATTGAAACTCAGCTTAGTCTCTATGTTTTCAAAATGGCCGATGTAGCTTTTCCCTGTTTTTTTCTCTCTTCTGCTTCAATTACTGTTTTTCATTGTTCTTTTGAGATGTGATGTGAGGGTAATGGCCGATCACTGCATTTCTTGTACAGGAGATAGGACACTCTATTCTGCAAACCTGTGGGAGCTGTGAGCACCATTTTTTCAATTTTTATCCAATGTCTCTTTCTCCAAGTGTTTTTGTATTGCTACATATGTTTATATTGCAAATGTATGATTACACATTTATATTTCATTAACCAGAAATCCATCTTTCATGTTTATAGTGGCTTGAAAACATAAGGGGAAAGACCTAAGAAAGAAAAAATCCTTCTCAAACCCCTAAAAAGCTGCAGCATTGGTTTTTCAAAAACAGAGAAAGACTGAAAAAAACTCTTGGTAGCAGTTTATGAAGTGTAGAACTGCATAGATAAAGGTATGAAATTCTATTCTAAATTGTTAAAGAAAACACAAGCAATGTGAAAATGGAGGATGCATTTTGACCTCTATATTATGTTTGTAGCATGAATAGAATGACTGCAGCATGTGGTTTGTTGACTGGGTATACACAGTTATCTTGACTACCTTTTTCACTCTGTATATTTTCTTATTTCTATCTGAATAACCTTGAGCTAATGCTCTTTTCTGTTCTTAGTTCTTGGTTCTGCCCCTGCTTTTCAGTGTTGCCAGTATCCAAGAACTGAATAATTTAATGAAATGAACAGAAACAATGTAACTAGAACCCGTTACTGTATGTGCATCCCAACACAACCTCACTAATTTCTATGATGGGAAAGTTTAGTAGTGGTTGGCTATTTGTCAGTTCTTATTTTTCGGATGTCATTCGCTAGTATATGGAATAGATCTAGTCCTCTCTGTTCAAGAACTTCACATCTTAGAGGCACTTTCAATAAAGCACTTTCATTTCTATTTTCATTGGGATCATTTTCAATGAGAGAATGATTTAGTCATTCGGCTGACACTTTGATCTAGGGTACCTTCGAGACGATGGGAGAGAATCAATAGCTGCTGTCACAGAGTCAGTTGTGTAATGGGAACAGTTTTAAGCCTAGCTCAAGCACCAGCAAGTTCTATTTACTCCTCAAGGTGAGACACAGTAAAGCAGTAGTGGAGTAGGGTGTTGAGCTTGGAACTCTATTATAATGAACTTTAACCACTGAAGTGCCTAATCTACCAGTTGTAAGAGCCAGTTGCTCCCTTTCAATTATTTCAAGAGCGTATGCGTAATTAAGATGCCTTGCTGCTAGTAAGTAGGATATATGAGTGCAATTGAAAAATATGATTATAATGTAGTTTTTTAACTAAACATTCTTATGTTCTCCTATCTTTGTTTTTAAGAGAACAAAATGTTTATGATTACCAGTATGCACATATACGGTACATCTGTTAATTCCAATAAGGTGAAGAAATAACTTTTAACACACTTAAACATTAAAACCAGATGCAACATCTTAAAATGAAAAAAAATTAAGAACATTTACGCTCACAAATGTGGCAGAGGCACTAGTTATTACAATAACAAAGATTCTCTGCAAGAACAAGACAAAAACGTTTTCATACATCGTGGAAGATTGTAAATTAAAAGGGTAGGTTATTCGACTGTTTAAATTAAATTATATTTTAGAATTTGGAAGAAATGGAAAAAGAAAGTCCAGGAGAACAGAATGCTCATGCCAAAAATATTTCAGTGTGTTTTGGCTTCAGCATAGTGTTGACGTTTTTTCTCATGATGTGCTTTAAATTTTCTTTCAAGCAAAATGTGACTTTAATCACATTGATCATCTTGTTTGTGATAGGGATTTCCAAAAGCAATAAATATGACCGAGGTTTGTATGGGCTTTTCTTATAAAAACCTTTGCTCTTTACCTGCATAACAGTGAGGAAACATTTGGTTATATATTACACAATATAGCCTTTTCTTGCTAGTGGAAGCTGTCTCTTAATTAGCAGCATTGGTAGGGCAATGGACTCTTTTCAAACCTAGGTCTTAGGTCCATGTGCTGTGAAATTCACATCATAAATTGCGAAACTTAGAGAACGGATTGTAATGCTCACCAGTGGAACGGCACCCCTGTCTAAATCTGTTTTCAGCCTGAACTCTTTGAATGTATCAGAGGCCTATATTTAGATAGTAACTGTGATTTTTTAAAATATGTATATATCTTATACTGTGCAAAGGCTTATTTGTCACCTTTTCGCTATTATCATATAGCTGCTCTCTTTTCAAAGCTGCACAATTTTCCTTTTCCCCAAATTAAAATTCTATGAAGAACTTTCTTCTGGTTGTTTGGCACTGGATCTGCTGCCTCTTGTAAGAAAACCTTTTCTCTTGTTTCTCCTTCCTGAATTCAATTTGTCATCTAAAGCATGTTTTTCCCCTCTTGTCATGCAGAGTGTGAATTACCTGATTTTACATTTATTGTAAACTCCTGTAACTCCTTCTGACTTATTGCTTAACATCATGAAATATACAAATGAGCCTTGAAAAGCTGTTAATGGAATTTGATTTAAAATTGAAGATGAACAAAGCAGAAGGAAGACTTTGCAAGATGGTTCATTTTTAATTTACATTAATTATAAAAGGCTCAGATGTTTCCAGACAGAGCTCATTCTTCAGGCAGACGTTTTTTTTTCATGCTGAGCAAATGGCACTCATAGCTGTTTATTCAGAGATACTGACTGAGGGAAAAGCACTTACTACACCTAGGGGGGTGGCTGTTAATATGGACTCAGACCCATGAAAAGTCCAAATGTGAAATATAATGCAGATTAACACATGTTTGTGACAACTAAAAAACAGTTCAAGAATCAGTTTTTTTTTTACTTTGGAATTTTATTTTGTAACATACATAACAAGCTGCAATTGGAAATGTATGGTGAAATCCGAGAGGATGACAATGGGCATTTTGGCACCTGCTTTTTTTAAACTAACAAGGAAATAAATGCAAAAGCAAAGGAGAGACAACACTAACCAGCTGATCTTTTATTGCAGTTCAAAACAGAAGTGAAATGTAGCGTATGTGTGTTACAACATTTGGTGGTCATTCATCATCTTTGACTCTGATCCTGAATATTTCAGAACTAAATTTAAATAAGAAATCCAATGGTTAAGGGAAGATATTAATGTGGAAAGATCGCAGGAAAGCAAGATGAGCTGAATATTGACGGTAGAGTTTACAGTAAAGCGTCAATGAAGAAGGAGCATGGTAGGATAATGGATAGCATAACCTATTGTGTGTTCTGTAACACATTTAGCCTGCCCACTCAGTGGCAGTGAAAGTTATTTTTCTGCTCTGCTTTGTAGTGTTGACTTTCCTCACTGCTGTCCAATAACACTCTTTATCCAGGGCACGTACGCCGAGATCTTCATGAAAACTGCATATCTCTCCACTGCGCAGCTCTTGTCAAACGAGAGAACTCCAGCCACGTACACTTTCCCATCTTTAGGATCCTGCACAGCAAAGGCTCCTCCAGCGTCTCCAATGCACACGTCCTCCCGATAGCTGGTGGCCTCCGTGCAGAACATGTTATCATCTACGATCGGAGTGCTGCTCACCACTTGGCCACCAGAGCTGTAGGTTTCCTTACACATGGTGTGGTTTGCCACAGTTAATGTCAGGGTCTTCAGCAGCCTAGAGTACTGAAGGAGAGCATTCCTGCCCCAGCCAGACACATCACCCTGAGTGCCCATTAGGGCATAATCCTTTTCTGGCAGGGAGAGGGGCTTCACATTACCATCCAAAAACAAATCCTCCTTCAGCCTGATCAGAGCCAGATCATTCTCCCAGTCAGAGGTGTTCTGGAAATTGGGATGCAGGAACACCTGTATTAAAAAAATAATTTGATTAATTAGCCTTTTCTTTCTCTAAGCATGTGCTACAGGGACAGCCGAGGTTATCCGAATTCAAGTGGGTTACTTGTCTTTAACTCTCTGAAACATTTTCACACATTGTGCTCCCGCCTCTTGATTTTTTTTAACCACATTTGATCAGCTGAAAGGAAGTTGTAATGATAATTGTCTCGGAAATACAGTCTAAATCCAGATTTGCAGAAAGAGATCTTTTTTGATCTGTGTTTAAGACAGGTCTGGATAAAGAGATAAATGTCTTGTGAGTTCCTCTTCAAATCAAATCAAGGTGGTAGAGTTTTGGAAACAAAATATTTTTTCCTGTGCTATTAACCTAATTACCATATTCACTCTGCTTTCTGTTAGGATTTTAATACGTCATTATGAATAATGTAGCGCATTGTTTTTAGATACTGCTTCTGCTTGTCTCTTTCTTTGAGCACCTTTGGAACAAAGGTAAAGTGAGATCTTCACTTGGCTGCACAAGGCTGTCAGTGCTGTCTCAGTCTGTCTCTCTGACGGTCAGCTGACAGATAATTCCGATTTGATTCAAAATCGTTGAAGGCAAAATCGTTTTGGAAAAACCTAAACCACACGGAAACCTGGCCTGCCAGTTTCACATTGTGAACAGATACAGGGCAATAAACCAGAATAATACTTAATACTGGCTCTGATGAAGAATTTCAAAACTGCAATCTCATTCTTGTTCTCTTCCATTTCAGGACTCGTAACGGTCCAGACAACAGAGCAAGCACAAGGCAAGCTGGAGTGCTCTGTTTTTGATTCATTCTTTTAAAACCACTTTCACACATTCCCTCTGAAATTTTGCAAGTCACTTTTTGGGTTTGAAAAGAATGAACAGATTCTCTACAAATAGCACACTTGCTGAACCTGCTGTTTGGAGAAGGCTGTGATCTTACTGTCTTGTTCATTTACTGTTTTTGAGTTTTTTTACTGTTAAAATTCCTTATTGCATTTTTTGTTTCTTTTTGCATCAAGGCGAGGTTCCGAGGCTCTGCAGAGCTTGGTTAATGTGTGTTATTGAAACCGGCCAGCCCGAGGGGTTCAGCTGGAAGGTGTTGACTCACCTGGTCCACCTTGACCTCGTTGAAAGTTTCCTCTCTCTCCCTGAGGTCAGTGATGCTCAGGTACACCTTAGGAATGGCTGGAGCCTGATACAGGGTGGCGTTGCGACTGGCGTTAGTGAAGAGGTTCCTGCCTGCGGTGAGCACCCAGCGCTTGCCAATCAGCGTCCCCCCTCCAATTATCTTGTCCCCCAGGGTGACAAGAGTCTGCCAGGGGACGCGGCGTGCAAGCACACCTCCCACCATACGCCGAGAGCGGAAGAGAGCCTGGTGTCTCTGCTCTGAAGAATACAACATATTTAGCACAAGCTAGCACGCCTTTCGTCAGGTCCCATAGCTTTTCAGACAGTAAAGAAACAAAGTATTTTATTCATTTTCATGTGTATTGTTAGGTAAGAACTGGTGTTCAATTGTTCCTAAGGTAATTGCAGTACACGCTATGTGCTACAGTTGAACTGTACAACAAAAGACAAAATGCTGCTTTTGAACAGAACATGATACTCAAATGCTGCAGCATGCTAATAAGAAGCTGTCTCTGCTTCTGTTTATTGGCAGCACCACTGTAAGAGGAGTGGAGACAAAGGAAATATCCAGTTACAGTCTGTAAAGAGCTTAATGCACTTGAATTCACAAATCTCTTCGTGCAGGGCTTTGCAATAGAAAAAACACCCCAGAGATTCTTATTGATTTACTGTAACTAGAGCAAAATTTAAAAAGTACCTGTTCAAAGTTCAGCATAATCCTGCAGTTCAGGAAAAGGCAAAAACCTCTCATCACCCACACGTATGACACAGTCTATTTGGGACCATGATAGCTTTTGCATTTTCTTAGTTGACAGACTAGGTTATGGCTCAAAACTAATTACCTTGAATGTCAGGTTTATCTGCGAGACAGAGACCCAAAACCATCAGCAGAGCTGGCAGGGATGATGACCTGTAGGAAAGCAATTCAATCATGTTTCATAGACACTCACTCAGATAAACACTTTGTCACTAATTTGTCCTGAGCATTATAAGGAAACGAAGAATCTTAAGCGGACGTGCTGCAAATGTGAAATCACTGTCATATTTCCATAATAATCTCTCAAGCAAACATTGTACATATACAGTACCAAGATGGACTACTCCTGTATCAACACCAACGTAGTACTTGGAAATCACTTTAGTTATGTGCACTTAATGGTCCTATTCTGACGGTATTTTCTGATACAGAAAAATCTGATTCTCAGGACAGATTGAATTGTTTTCGTTCTTCTCGCACAAAACAAGAATAAGAAAACATTTCACATTGTTATTCATTTTAAAATATTTTTGAAAGCTTTGTTAAAACTGCTGCAGGCAAATGTAAATGTTATTGACCATACACTATAGAGTTTGTCATATTCAGATGGCAAATGTTATATAACTTCCATAGACAAACCAAAAACGTTAATGTTTTAAGATTTTAGTGTTTCAAATTGAATAGTATTTTTTTCTGTAAATACCTGGTTAAAATTGCTACAGGCCTGTTTGGAAATAACATTTTGATAACTGGTTTAGAAAATAAATCATTTGTACATACCACATTTTGTGAGCCTTTGTAGATATTAAAGTGCCTCGTTGTGTTCTGAAGAAGTGTCCTCTTAACAACAGGGAAATGACTTTTATACCTGCAGGGTTACAACACACTTAAGTATTGCACATCCAGGATATTTACAGGACAAGAACAGAAGACCATTCTGGAACATTGGTTGTTCCAGCAATTTTTGCTAGGTTTTCCAAGCAAATCGCCAACATATTTCACAATTTCAGAATTCCACATAGCAGGTGTAAACACTCCCTAAATGAATTTTCTGGAAGAACGGGCAATGTGCCCTGACTAAGAGAGACATTTCCAGTAAATGTATTAAGAAATCATTCAGTGTTTTTAAAAATTAACAATTAAAAAAAAAAGTATTCATGTGATTTTCGTAACTACATTATAAACAATTCTGAATGATTAAGCAAAGTTTAAACAAACTTAAAACTAAGAAGCTGTTGGTGTGATTCAAGTCTGTTTTCCCTATATATCTAGATTTTTATTTTTTTTTTAATTTTGCTGCTAGCTAATGTAAGTCGCCCTAGATTAAGGCAACTGCTAAGAAAATATTTGCTTTGCATAATAACTTTGGCAAAAGATAAAAACAGAGGAAACAATATCTGCATTAACAGAGATTAAGCCAGATATCTTCTGTGCTAAAATGTCACTTTCAGTTTAAATATGTACTGTATAATGCAGACCGGCATTTAGCATGGATGAGTGTAATACTGGCTTTAGGGCATTTTTTAAATAATATGACAGTAAAAATGTTACATTCAGATGTTTATGTACTTTATCTAGCAGTTCCATTGTTGTGTCATACACTTGCCAGATTTTAAGATAATGAAGAATGAATGTGAAATTACCTAAAGAGCAATAAGTACTAAGAGTATATAAAAACAACATATCAAGCATTTGGTTGCAGCAAACTATGCTACTGTACAGGTATGTGCACCATAAGGATTTTGACTGTAGATTGGTGAAATCTGACTCAAGCTGGGGTCGTTACTCCTGGCCTGGATTGAGAGAATCTTAAACAGACGCGCTGTTGTATGTGACACCTCAGGAACAGCTGAAAAGCAGGGTGATTCATCAGGATTAGTAACTTGGCTATAAGGGGGACAGTCAATCATAAACCCTCATTCATGATATTAACATAGTGTGAACTTGGCTGGACTCGGACTATAAAACCTTCTGTATCACTGTTGCAGTTTGCTAGATACTAACATAGTCACATCCGTCCCAGTGTTCAATGCGCTAACATCCGTCCACCACAACATTCACAAACTTAACTCAGCAACTGCTCGGTCATGCTTTGTCCTTCTGGCCGGGTTGTCCACCTCTAACTAGATGACTGAAGCCAAGGATCTGATCTGCTGGGATGTGAAACTATTCTGCCTCTATGATGATCATTTTATGATTGCTGGCTTTCACTACTATATTTTTTCGTATGTGCATTTACTCAGCCAACAATACTGCTCAACCCTGCCATTGTTCTGTTAAGTTCTTTTGTTTTATATTCAATTTTCTCAGAAACAAATGAGAGAAAAACATGAGAAAACGTACAGACAAGAAGAGGCCATTTGACTTTTCTAGCCCAATAGGTAGTAGCCAATGGATCCAAGGCTCTCATCCAGCTGAATCTAGAGTATCAACTTCACTAACATGGGTGGGTAGCTTGTTCCATACTCCTACAACTGTTTGGGCAAACAGCTGCCTCCAGCGCTCAGTTTTAAATGTACTTAAGGTCACTGCTTTGTTACTTTTTTTGACTGGTGATCTGAATCTTCATTATTCTTTCACCATTGAGTACATTGTGTTATGTCTTTTTGGTATTATCATTATGAATTAAACTTCTGCATCCGAAAATTATGGAACATTTCTCCCAAAATGTCTGGTTTAATTCCAGTATTTTTTTGTCCTCAGTTATTTTACAAGTGATCAGCTTTAGTATGCCAAAACGCAGTACAGAAATAGCAGTCTATTCTGCTGAAAGACAACTATTAGGGAAGGCTTGCTGCCATATTTCCTGTTTTGCAAGTGCAGAGGAGAAAGATGTCAAGAGAACGTTGTGTTCTGGGCAGAAATAGACTGGTCAAGCTGAGAGGGTTCAAACACTAGGGGCAAATGCAGGGTTGTGCTGCGGCCAGATACAGCAAGAGATGAGAAAAAAAAAATTCAGATATGAGATGGCAGAAAAGAATGGCTATTGACGAGAAGGTCACACTGCTGACTGAGCAATACCATCATGAAAGTCATGCTTGTAAATATATAAAGGCCGCAGAAGGAATATGAATATGGTGCTGTTTTTTCAAAAAGTGTTTCATAAATTTTGAGAAAATGTCAAGGATGTTAAATCCCAATGCATTATATGTGAATTGCATAAATTGTTTTTTTCTCCTTTTATAACAGAAACACTGAAGTGTTTGATCAAACATGGGAGAATGATGGAAGGCATGTTTACATCAGGGAGCTTATAAATTAGTTATGTGGAAGATTTTCACAGGACAGTTATTGGTATCTTTGCTAATGGACTTGAAACTTGGCACTGTTTTGTCATCTTACATAAATGTAATTTACATTACTCACAGACAGGTTCAGGGAACTTTATTTTTTCAGCATTAAAAGGTTATGAGGGTATTTGATGTTATGAATTAGAATCCCAAAAGGTATTAACATACTCTAAAAATAACACAACTTTCTGGCACAAGTGGAATTGACGAGGGTATGTACTACAGTATATCTGAAACAAAAGCTATATATTAAATTAAATTAATCAATCACTCAATCAGTCGATAGATCAAGCTACTAAGCTACTACTAATAAGCTATTACCATTGACATTAAAATGTGTGAATGGTTCCTTTTTTGTAATCATGTTCTTTTTTAATTTACCCGACAAAATATCTTTTCATATAAATGTATTTAAGTTACAGCAATTAAAATGGCAAACTAAAAGCATTTGAAAAATAACTACTGTGAAACCTTTTTCACAGTGATTTTCAAAAATTGCCTGTGTGAAAGTTTACAAGTGTTGAATGAAATACTAAAATGAATTTGCAAAAATGCATCTATAAATAATCTTTATTTTATATGCTTCAACATAACAGTTCTGCATAGAAATGTCCATTTATGACAGTTGATTTAGCAAGCTAATGTGTCTAAATTTAAAGTTTGTTTTCCCCACAACTATTTTTCCTTTAAGCTGGTTATCTGCCAAGTATTCAGGGAGGAATTAATTAGAATGAAGTTTACAAGGCACATACAGTAGGCAGCTCTTGCCAATCGAGCATTCTAAAGTTGAGTCGATCCCCCAGAGTGTAGGTTATAACGCTCACTCAGAAAATCCGAACTGGAAGAGAAAACTTTGACATACAAGTGTCATTTCTAAAAGAATAAACTCTATTAACTGAAATATGTACAAGATTTTTTAAACCTATTTTACATATTTTACCTTTTTTTTGAAATATAGGTAACTGAAGAGTTTTAACGTCAAAGAAAACAATTTCAGGAGCTCATCCTCAGCTTTCATTAACAATTGCACTTGAGGTTTTCAGCAGCACTGAAAGGGAGCAATGTAATTCTCTCCTGATTTCTCCAGGATTTATTGTCAATATGAATATCTTACTAGGTCTCATTTCATGCATTGCAAATTACTCTCCGAACGTGAATAATCTCCTCCATGCCAAACAGGAATGGGTGATGAAAAACGTGCTGGTGAAGAGTTTGAATTAACCGGATTGGGAGTGGGTTCAGAGCCATTCACCCTCAGAAACAGTGGCTTTTTCTACTTGTTGATTTAGAAGAATTTTCAAGCACAGCACAGTAGATTGGTGAACACTTTTCTGTTTGTTAATTATCGTGACAATGTCTTACATCGGGGGCCCCCAGTTCTGGTTGGGGGGTGGGAGAGGGAGGATGGCAGCATGCCTCCAAGTTTTTGGGGTCTCTAAAGCTAAGCACCAATTCTATCCATAATGCTGATTCAGGTCATTAAGACACAGCATAGACTTACATCCTGGAAGCACAGCACTCCACAGGACTAGGACTGGAGACAGATCTCCTGTGGTAATTCCTTTACCAAATCAAAATCAAATCAAAACAAAGTTTATTTATCAAATGCACAACAATACAGTGTGCAGCAGTAGTTGCTGGCAATGAAATGTCTTTTCCGCGAGCTCACAAGAATCACAAGAATCACAAAAACACAAAAATCACAACATTGAGGTTACGAAAATAAGGTTACATGATAATAGATGTAATAGAAATGGAATAAAACTTAATATGAATAGAGCTGCTATGTGTCCATGGTGTGTGCAATATATACAAGTAGTGCAGTTATGCTGAATACAGTGAAACCTATGTGTCCTGTAGCCATTACAGGTGATTTGCTAAAGGAGCTGCAGGTTGGCTATTTAGCAGTTTTATTGCCTGGAGGTAGAAGCTGTTCCGTAGTCTGTTGATATAGCCTCAGTACAGTCAGGTACTGTGTATTTATACATGTGGAACCAGAATCGAAGTTTTCTTGGAGGCTGGTGCCATTTCAATAAGTCAATATGTTCAGACCTTGAAGGGCTCAACCACAGTGTGTTGCACAGAACACACCACTCTGACGAAGCAGACTGCACTCACTGTGCAACCGTGCTGGTGTGACTCACCGATGATATTTCTTAATAACTAATCCCTTTCACCGTGCACTGTAGCGTACTGCTACAAAGGCCAGTCAGAACAAAATAAATTATTTAATTCATCTTTTTTTTTACTTGCTTTTCCAAAGCCTCTCTTGCACGTAATCGTTTTTCACCAGGTATAAAACTGAAGGACAGCTCTTCTATAGATGAGTACTCGTGGTTCTGAGACTTTGAAAGTTTTAAATCCACTCAGTGAAATACAGCACATAAAATAGTGTAAGTCAATATTGTGGTTAAGGTATATTTAAAAGGCTGTGAACATTTATAGGTGGACTGCAATACAATTGTTTTAAAACACAGTATTTAAAACAGCCTGATCAAAGAGCCAAATATTTTCAGTTAAAGAGAAAAGAGAAATATCCAATAGTCAAAAATATATTAAATGCAGATTAATGGATAGCATATGTATTTAGTAAAGGCGAGAGCACTACTGTAGATTATTTTGATGCTGTTTACCTTTTATAACATATCCTGTCATTCCTAATATTTAATTCTTGAAGGGTTTATTTCTTTTGGTGTTTATGTTTTAAGCCAAGTAATAGTTCCATCATGTTACCCTTACTGAGTATAGACTTTCTGATTTCTGTTTGAGTTGGTTTTCTCAACTTCTTTGTGTTCTCAGCATTTCTCCTGTATTTCACAAATCACTGTTCCATTGAGAAATTGTTCCGCTATTCCATTGAGAAATGTGGTTTGTATTTTCTTATACCAGTCCTGCATTGACAAGGTACCAAAAGAGAAGGAGAGACTTATTAAGGGTTACAGTATGAATTATACAGTATCTCACAGTGTACCTCCAATTGTATAAAGGCTGTCATTGCTGTTTGCATGATCATATTTGTTTTGTGATTGTACTGCAAAATATTTGCTCAAATAAAACAGGTTGACATTTTTCCTGTACCACTTGGGTTATACCTTCTTGTGTTTATTTGTCCAGCACCTTTAAATCCTTAAATCCATTATTTTCCTGCCTTTATTGATAAAACTAATAAATCAACTGATTCAATTGCTAGCATGGTATTGCAGGAGTTAGCAATGTTGCCTCGCACCACTGGGGCCCTGGATTCAATTCTGGACCTAGAGTGCTGTCCATGTGGAGTTTGTATGTTCTCTCTGAGTCTGTGTGGGTTTCCTCTGGATATTATGGTTTTCTCCCACAGTCTGAAACCATACTGGTAGGTTTAAATGAGCTTCTGGGAAAACTGGCCCTGGTGTGAGTATGTGTTCCCTGTAATGGACTGGTGTCCTGTCTCTAATTAAATTGGATGAATGAATAGCAATTGCAATTGCTATTGCTATTTCTCAAACACATATTTGCAACTTCACATAAAACATTAAAACTTTTTTTTTCTTTTTTTAAGATGTGAATATTACGAACAATCTTTTGTCTTTTGTTGGAATGTTAAAGCCTTTCTTCCATCTATGTGTTAATGACATTCTTTTCATATGTAAGTACTCTAAATACTGATTAATCTAAGAATGAATTGCCCTTCTGCTTGAATAAATCACAACTAGCCAAGTTTTATACAAATAGTTGTTGACCTACAGTATACATTTTCTTACACAAACAGTTGGTGACTTCACTGAGATTTAGTTGTTACAAACTTATATTGAGAAGTATTTCTGATAGCTGTGTGCTGTACAGCTAACAAAATGTGGATGCCCAAAATGCGAATACAAAATGTGTATTTGCTGGCACTACATTTCAAGTCTATATTGTTTGCTGATTTGAAAAGTTAATGCAAAATGCTGGCCACTCATGCATTACAAGGGCTCCTTGCTTAAGTTTCTGTAAATATTGTCTGTGTGACTCAAAGTATGTGACTCCTATCCTGTGTGCCAAAGAAAACAGCAGAAATTCCCGAAAAAAGGTAGATAATCTGAAGGACAATGATGAGAGTGAAAGCCTGAAAGAGATAACATTAAAACTTCCTTGTAATGGATACAGTCTAGAGGCAGACTAGAGAAGCAGTCACATACAGTATGCTTTTCAATAGCATTTCAGTTTGTTAACTTCAGTTAGGAACTATTTAAAGGTGCTACAGTGTCAAGTATACATTTGTGAACCTCCAAGGTTGGTCTGTAATCTCATATTTTTGGGGGCTTAAAACATAACTAGACCTTCATGAAAGTCTTTATAAAAGAAGGAGGCTGAAGTTTAAATAAATGCTTAAACTGCTCAAATGCTGTGGATAATACAAATCCCTTTTGACCATGGCATGACGTGTTTTCATTGATCTGTATGGTGAAGACCAAACTCACAAAGCGTCGAATATTAAAGGACTGAGCCCAAACTCAGCCCTTGTTTCCACCTCATTCTAATCATCACCTTAATTGTGCCAGTAAAACTAATGGTTCACTTATTATTTTACATACACCGATCATCAATTATTTATCTTCTTCTGCTTTGTACACCTTTGTACACTGGTAAATACAAACATTTTTTGTAATTGAAAAAAAAACAAAGTTTTCAATTAAACAAGGGTATCAGGGTAAAAAAAATTGTATTTCCAATAATTAGGGGTTGACAAGTTTTCCTAGCACTGTATCTAATATTTTTGAAAATCTCAATTTTCGTGCTGTCTAGTATGACTCATAAAGAGTGTCATTTTTTTCATGTGATAGAATGAAAAAGATGAAGACAAACATCAATCTAATTCCAGTACACACATAATTCTTGCAGTAGATCCAGGCCACTTGGTAAAATACTTGGCTATTGTGTTTTGTGCATGTTTCCTCAATGTGTCCCAATTTTCTGTTTTGTAGGCTAGGATTAACCTTTAGGCTTTTGATATTTCAGTGTGTGGATTAGTTGGTAATGCGCTGTACATTTACATGTATTCGTTCAACAGTATAATCACAGTTTAATTACAGACAAGTAAAATCAGAAAGCAGGAGATTCATTATGTCACGAATACAATAGTTTTTCATTGGTTTCACCTTAGGTGTTACTTGTGTGATTGTTATTTGTGGGTTTTCAGAATTTCTATTCATGTTTTCTAAGACTACAAGATGAATGAGTGCAAAGTTTCATTACTTCATGAAATGAATGAAGTTTCAGTCATGTAAAATCTAAATGGAAAATTCCTGGATGTTTTATTGGCTACTATTATCATGCTTGCTGCTGCCAGGGAGATTTTATAACTGTCAAGGTGAAATCCTTTACTTGAAATTTTTCTGCTTTGTGTTAAAGCAGATAAATATTTAAAGGTCTGCTATTATTGACAGAAAAAGATGCATTCAGATTTCCTCTTGGAAATAAGAACTTTTTCTGTTTAAGCTCCTTGTAATCTTCCTTGAACATTGACTCATATTTTACAGTTAAATATGTGGTCTTCTATAACAATAAATTATTCTCTCACAAAGCCTTCCTTTAGATAAATCACAAGTTCTCACTGGTTTTACAGATGAATATATAAATATAGAGAATATGTTTGGATTTAGCATTTGAAATATTAAAAAAATATTTCCACCAACATGGTTGCAATGCAGACAAATTGTACATTTTAAAATTTTACTCCCCTTCACTTTTGTAACTAAAGATTTACATCTGGATGTAAGCTTTTTATTGTATGCGGTTCTTTTCTATTTTTTTTTACTAGACAAACACTTTTTCCCCAACAGTATCATTGTCATTTTCTTGCCTTTTTAAAATTGCTGCTTTTTAGTTGTGCCACTAAAGACATGCAGTAATGCTGATATTGCTCCTTAAGTAAAGCACAAAGATCGAAAACATGGCAGAGCAACGGGGGTGTGTTACAGATTGATTTTGTAGATCTGCCAGAAACACATTCACAGTATTTTTAATATCATCTCCCAAAGCAAACAATGATAAATCCAGTTGCTCTCTAGATATGCCATAACAACAGCGCCAACTGGATTGAATCCTGCAACAGATTGGCGAGAGCTGCCATTGAAGCAGGATGTTGCAATAGAAAAATGGTTTGCACCACAATTCTCTGCTACTGCCATAACTTTTTTGCTATGTGTGTTCTCAGAACCCGAATCCAGGTCTTGGGTTTGAAGAAAGATACAAGATGTTAACTTTAAGTCCTTTCTGCATGAAGATTAGACTTCTAAGCAACAGGAGTTTATGGCAGGAAAGGGGGTTAACTGATAAGGATTCCAGATGTGAGCTAGGAGAGCTAGGGAACCCCCTGGGGACTTAATCCCTGACCATTTGGCCAAAAAGCTGTAAACTGGCCAAACACATGACCTCCCCCCTTTAGCATAACAACAGTGACGTCAGAAGCAGAGAGGAAAGGATATATAAACCTAAAGTTTGTCCCGGCACTTTGAACAATATTTCGGTTTTGTTGTTTCTTGCGGGAAACAAGACTTCGGCTTTATTGTTCCTTGCATGCAATAAACTCATCTCATGTTTGTCATGTTTGACTTCATCTCAAGATCCAGAACCTTATTCTTTCTGTTACAACCTGGATCATGGCACTAGCTGACTGTGACAAGGGTTCCTGAAGAGGTGGTACACGACTGGCCAGGTGGCACAGAGAGTAGGGTGAGATTAGAATCCTGGGCTCTTTTGCGTTGTTTACAGGTAAACAGCGCTGGGTTGCTCTATGACAAGTTAAACAACAAATGACCCAAAGATGAAGATCCTCATTTCTCATGATCATGCAGTGAAAGCAAATTTGTTTTATTTCCAATTGCGTGGGTATAACAAAAATAATACTAAATTGCCCAGGCCAGAAAGAGTCACAAAAGCAGATTCACCTAAGAAAATAGTTTAAAAAACCATTTCATTGCCTAAGGAACACTCCACGGCACAATCTACAACTAGAAAATACTCAATAGACCCTCTAGATCTCCCCCTTCCCTCTTTATATACTTGCAACCCCGCCTCCAAATGGCTACAGGGTTTCCTACTTAGTCCCCGCCCCTTTCATCATTTCCTATATACCTTTGCTCTTCAGACTGGCAGCCATTTTGTCTCTCCACCTCCAGAACCACATGTACCCAAAATACTACAAAGCCACGATGAAAACTATCTACTGACCATAGTTATATAGAAATGTGTATGTATATACTCTATACTGGGTTCCTAAATAACTGGAAGCTGAATAGTTTCTTTGGTATGCCAAACAGGTAAGTGCTATGTAATTTCAATATAATCTTATTGGTGAGGGAAGGCCTCTAAGCCTTCAGCTTCGCTGTGACAAACATATCACTTAAGCAATATTATATATGCATTCCTTTTATGTTTCATTTCTTGAATTATTTCGTAATACATGAGAAATCCATTTAGTATTCAAAAGTGGGGGTGATTAATGTCAGGAGCGATGCAATGCTCCTTAATTCTCTCAGACAGCTGTGAGCAGTGCAATACCTCGAGACCCATTGAAGCCATACAAGCCAAAGGTTCCTGCCTTAAAGATAATTAATCGCAAGGCAAGTGCTGTTCAGCAGTTAATGTCCTGTGTCTGCAATTGCAGGAGGCAAAACTGTGGGATTTACCTCTTTAAATGAGATTATTGAATTAAAACAATTTATTAATCATATTCTGAAAAGCTGCAATGGGGCATGTGTATAGTTAATTAAAAGGTCATTATCGGAGCTGTTTTGATAAGGACCGAGATAGCATAATGCTACAATTCCTTTTACATAAAAAGTGCTGGAGCTTGTTGATTATTTTACATGCTGTGGACTCTATAGCAAAAAAGGCCTTTTGCTTCACAAAGTTTTAGTATGACATTGATATAAACCATCACTGTAACATATTACATTTCTATCAGAGATCCTCCTCTGTTTGTTAGGAACTGCAGAAATAATCCTCTGTGACCTTTGGTTGGGGTGGGGATGAGATTAGTTTAAAATAAATACAGCTGTTTTTTTTTATCAAGCTGTCTCAATCAGCTTACCTGAATATAAAAAGATTGATTAACAGGAAAAACAGAGATTGGATAAAATGCCAGGATTGATAGTTAGGAATACTGAAAGAGCCAAACACTTGAAAGAGAATGCAGATCAGTCTGAGACAGTCCATTTTTTTTAAATTCCAGTGAAAAGAATTGGGCTACAAAGAAAAGAGGATAATTATATGCAAGCCTGAGTTAAAGCTAAAATATAATTGTCTAATTTGAAATGAAATGTAGAGATTTTCAGATTTACAGTAATTCTAATACATATTAAACTAAAGTGAGGAATATTTCAAGTGAACAGCTTGCAACACAGACGGGGTGTTGGTGAGCAATGTTTCGTGTCTTAGTTGGAAAGACAGAACGGTCAAGAATAGCCCCTGAATTTCATTGCGTAACCGATTTATAAGAAATGAGTCATGTAATTTAAATCATCATTTGTACCTTGAAATAATTAATTTATATATTTTTCCATGTATAATTCAGAGCAGACGAGACTGAGGTAGAACACATGATGTCATGTAGAAAACTGGGGTTTGCTGTGCTGTGCAGGATATATGAATTGTCGTGGATTCTTTTGTCTTTTGCAGGCAGGAGGAAGTCCACCACTTTGACAGATCTCATTGGAGCTCAGTGAAGATGACTTGCTCTAACTTTACCACTGGAGATGGGTACTGCTGTGTCATAATTACTGTGCCTTTCCCTTCTCACCTGTTGTAGAGTGAATGTTGGTCTCTATGTAGCTTTAATCTGTTGTCCTTACTGCTGTTTCTAAGGACATGGAGGCCTTTAGCTGTCAGGCAAACCTCACCCTGCTGGAAGGTTGGTGCTGGAAGAGGTATTAGTGGGGCCAGCAGGGGGCGCTCACCCTGTGGTCCACGTGAGTCCTAATGCCCCAGTATAGTGATGGGGACACTATACTGTAAACAGGCGCCATCCTTCGGATGAGACGTAAAACCAAAGTCCCGACTCTCTGTGGGCATTAAAAATCCCAGGGCGTTTCTTGAAGAGTAGGGGTGTAACCCCGGTGTCCTGGCCAAATTTCCCATTGGCCCTTACCAATCATGGCCTCCTAATAATCCCCCTCTATGAATTGGCTTCATTACTCTCTGCTCTCCTCCCCACTGATAGCTGATGTTTGGTGAGCGTTCTGGTGCGCTATGGCTGCCGTCGCATCATCCAGGTGGGTAAGGTACTATCAGCTGGGCAGGCTGTAACTTGAGCCAATGAGGTTGGGGGTCCTACTCTTCATTAAATTGCCCTCATTTGACCCGACTCCCACGCTTGTTCCCACAGTGTATATCGGGGGGAGGGCGGGGGGGGTCTGCATCAGGTGGCCTTGGCCTGCAATCTCAGTTATAGCAAGCTCTTTCACCTCTGATTCAAGAGGTCTGCTGCCTATTTATAAAAGTGCCAACTGTGTAGGTGTGGCAATAGTTCTTGTTAGACTAGGTTGTTCATGTAAAACGAATGAATGAATTTAAGGAAATTAACCAAATGAATATGACAATTGTTTCATCAATTGTGATTTTGAAATTTGCTGGAAAGCACATATACCCTTCTGAATATATCCGTTTGGCCTTAGTCCTATCATAGTGTTTTTATGTGCATCTGTTGGAGAGTTTAAATTTAGTCCAGATATTCAAAGCCTTCATTACTGATTATATGATTTGATGTTTTTTTATCCAAACATTTTGTACCCATATATACTGTACAGCTTGGCATTTCTTGAAGCAATCTGAGTGAAGCACCTTGCTCAAGGCTACAACAGCAGTGCCTCATCTGTGAGCCGAGTCCATGCCACTCCAGTTAGCGCAGAGCCCTGACCGCAGCAACACATTGTTGCTTTTAGATTCTGTATATTTTAGTGTATTTACCACATGAGATTCTGGCATTTTAATATGAATACATCATCTCACATCCAGAATGTTGTGTTCTTAGAAACGTTTCCCAAGGCATTCACAAGGGATAAGGAAAAACCTTTACAACTTTAATTTGCTCTTCTAAGCAGAATGAATGAGACCTGGGTAGTGCATTTTTCTTATCTTTCTGGCTCTTTGCAATTCAACTGGTACAGTTGTTAGTACATTAAATAAAAAAAGATGTTTACACCACATTTGTACCTAGTGCACTAATCTATTCTCTCTTTTCCTGCATATACAATCCATAAAGCTGTGACTGCTTTTGAATGTATTCACGTGAATCTGTTTAAATGTAATAACTAGTTTTTGAGATTCACCCATTCACACCTTGGGTGTGAATCACAGTAGTTGTGACATCTGCATTATAAAACCTAAAATTTGTTGTGAAGGAATAATCTTTTTCTGTGTTCCAATACCGACAATGAAAGAATATTCCAACAAGGATTTGGGATTATTTTGTCTTTCCTCACAGAGTTCTTAATGAATTTAGTATATGCAGGCTCTTGGTTGGTTAGTTTGTTTTATTTTATAGTTTGTTTTATTTTTTAGTTTTGAATCTTCATTTATTCATTGCTCTATAAGCATTGAAGCTATTGAAAGAGATCCATGTGGACATTATGTTGCTCAGACCTCAGGACTAACTCCATCGTTATCAGTGTGTTGAGTAGCTATAGCACGTGAAAAAATACATGTAAAAAGATGCTTGAACTATTCCACTGAAACAATTGATGCCTAGCTTTCTTTGGACGTTAGATGCTGTTATCACTTTTTTAGTCTTCCTCTTTCTGTGCACCTATGGCAAAATCACAAAGTCTTAGAAACACTACCAAATCAGCCGTGATATTATTTAACAGAAGTTTGAGAAGAGGTCTAATTCTAATCTCATGTTTCCTCTCTCTTATTTATAAGTATTTCTGTACTTCCCACAGCTCTGTGCACATCTTTTCTAGCTGCCCTCCCACCTTCCCAGCTGCACCTTTGCAGCTGCCTCCCTGATTCATTCCTTCCAAATAAGGGGGGTTACGATAGGGACTAATGTCACAGTCAGGGTAAGATAAAGCCAAAGTACTACTAAAAGTAGGCTCTCTTTATATTTGTCAGCTCGTTTGGTCATGATTAGAATTGCCACAGTACTGAATTAAAGATGTAACTTACCTAGCTCTGAGCAGAGTTTGTCACAACAAAAACTCATGCTGTGAGATGTACTCTGACAGTAACATTATATTTAGCATGTCACTGATAGCGTTCTTTTGTGCTTCTTACCAGTTAACTTTGCCTTTATCCATTGCTGCCTTATTCAACCTGTAGCAGCAACAATACTTGGATTCCTATCATCCTCTTTTTTACAAATAGAAAGTTAAAAGAATCATGAATGTCAGAATCTTCAAGTAAATGGCAGGATTCATAGTCATTTCTATCTTTATTAGCTCATGTTTATTTTTCCTCAGCAGATCAGATGAGCTGAGACAGTGCACGGCGTGGTGCACAAGAAACACTGGGAGCAGTCTGCATGTGTTACCATATCTAATATGTGTACACCAGGTAGCATATCTGATATGAGGTGCAGCTATTTGGCAGACACTTAAAAGTGATTATATTGATTTAAGTATATCTTAATACCTACGCACTTTGATAAAAGAGCAACCTGCCTTAAAAACAAAGTTGAAGGACTTAGTGGCAAATACAGTACCAATTTACTGCCAATTGTCAGAAAGGGTTTCTTCAACATCGGCGAAGGCGGGAGGGCAATATTCCAACGCAACCATTTCCTTCATGTTTGCCTGTAGAAGTCATTTGCAGGGTGCTAAAGTTTCTGGTTACCCATCATGAAACTGAACATTCTTTGCCTGCTATAATTTAAAAATAACTGCTTTAGAAAATATCATAGCTTTTAGCTCCTCATATTTTTTAAGGGGAACTGAAAAGGATGAAGACATTTATTTGAAGATGGTAATTAATCAGAAAAAAATGCTCACTCTTGAGGTCCACAAGAAACATTAGACTCTTTAACTGCAGTGATTCTCAAAGAAGAAGTAGACCGACTTCAAGAATTTGCGAGTGCTGAGCTATTACCTACAACATAATTTGTCTGTTGCATGTAAATGCATTTTTCTGGTTCAGTATTTTTGTAGTTGGCGGAAATTAGGATTCAAATAAGGTTAATGATTTTAAAATACGGTTACGCTTATCTGTCTGCGCTAAATTCGCCCTGGAAGTGCTTATCCTTTTTACGTTAACAAGTCTTAATATCAATTATGTCACACAGCATTTGTGCCTCTCAGCTGCGCTGCAGAATGCTCCTTGTGTTCATCATGCGTCTTCCTCATTTTGAAACAAACTATTTGTCCATGCCTCCCTGGTGCAAGCAGCTGAGGTTGTGCTGCTGTATAAAAAAGCAGACTGTGCCTTTAAGGCAGGGCTGGAGGGACCTGAGCACCATATGTTTTGATATGAAAAGTATTCAGAGACCTTCGAGTCTGGGGGGATTCTGAGCCGATGGTGGGGTCAGCAAGCAGAAGAAAGGAAACCAACATCTGCTGAATACACGGTGCTGAAGATACCCCTCGCTGAGTGCATATTCACAAAGTGAAAGCTAGTACAGCTCATGTAATTCCAGGTTGAATAATCATCTTAGATTGACTCTGGACGGAGGCAGAATTCAGCTTTGGTTTTGGAAATGAAAGATGTAGCAAGGTATGCTGCCTGGTTTTAATAAATTTAGCAAGTGACCAAGTGGTACATCATCTAAACATATGCCAGGTCTGAGCTGGTAGCATAGCCATTCTTTAATGGGTGATTTGTAAGTACTATACAGTAAATGTTTGATATTATGAAATAAGGTCATATCGAGTAAAATCACAAATGTTAAACATGTGTAACAGTTCTGGCAAATATATAATATCAAGTTTGATATAATATTTTTTTCAACGCATCTATTACTGCTTCACCCTAATAAAAGGTGTGGCAAAACAGAATTTCTCCCAGCAGAGAGAGTGCAAGGTGAGATTATGATCACGTTATGATTTGTTCAAATCTATAGAATCCTTTGCTAAAATAAATGGCTGCAGTAGGGCACACAGAATATTAAGCCACAATAATAAGTAATTACTTTTGTATGGTAGTCAAAAACATTTCTGAGCATTTGTTTTCATATTATTTTCTCACTAACACAATCCTTATTAGATGGAAAAATAGTTTATTCTTTGTAGCTTTTTGTTTGATTGGAGACAATAAAAGAATGATACTGACAAGGGGAGCCTTTGGGCAGTTTAGCTCAGTTGGTTACTAATAGCAGTTTAGTCTGAGGACTTTATCCAGGGGAGCTTTATCAAAGGCCACGGAAATATAAATATACTATATTGTATGCTCTGTGTGTACCCATTAGTACTGTTGCTTGTTCAAAAACTCTAACAAGTTAGGCAATACTTTTCTTTTCAAAATCTATGCAGAGTATCCCTCTAGTTTAGCTCTAATTATCTATTGACCTACAGTAAACCTACTTGATGCAGTGTTGTCACTCTTTCTGTGGATGGGCTTTACATTATCAATTTTCTAGTCCATACAGAAAAATCTGGAAACGAGAAGGGCTATCCGTCCTCAACCACCTGACTGGGAAGCCTGTTGCAGACTCCCACTGCTCTGTGATTAATGATGTCCTATTCTCTGTCCTAAATGAATAGATTTCCCTTAAGTTTCTGAATTGGTTCTATTTCACATTGTGCATAGAGCAGTCCCCTAGCCTGACCCTGTATACTGTACATGGCCCCTGAGACCATCACTTTGTTACTTTGCCTCGAACTCTTATGAATGTTGCATCTGGTATGATGACCAAAATTGAACTGAAACTGTGGTGACAAAGTACTCTCCTTGAGGTCTTACCAGTGCATTGTAGAGTTGAGACATAAACTCCCTGGATTTAAATTCTATACTTTTTCATATTTACTCAAGCATTCTGTTTGCCTTTATTGCCTCCCCACATTGTTATGAAATGAATCTTAATAAAAACCCAGAAACCTTTTGTGTCTAAAGGGAACTACCTCTGACTTGAACTTTCGCCTTCAGCAGACAGAAAGTTTCCCAAAAAAAAGTGTACTTTGCATTTCAGACATTCCCAGCTGTTTAGTTTCGGCAGTTGTACCTGAAGCTGCCTCCTCTAGTGTTAAGGTTTTTGTCAGTACCACAGAGAATAATTTAAGTCGAAGCAGTTACGTCCTCATAATGAGAATGTAGTAGGTTAGGCATGTTGAAGTGTTAACAGCAGTGTTGTATTGAAACCTGTTACCCATAGGTCACTTTTGTTTTTATAGCCTGTGTTCTTCACAGTGCAAAAGACAGTTATAGGCTGTTCTCTGGTAGTTCAGTCATATTAGTATATAGGATTCACACTGTGCTTGGCTAAAAAGTGTAAGATAATATGATCATAAGGCCATTGCTTTGTTCAATCCAGACCCTCAAGGCGGGGACTGAGCAGTGTGAGCTGGGAAGGCTTTCGAGGTCACCTTTGTCTTGACATGAGGCTGCAGTCTATAGCACGCTGCAGGGGATGGCTCCCTGCTGAGCAAATTAGTTGTGATGGCTGTTTTGGCCATACTGTGCTTGTTGTGTATGCAAATATGCGTTTTGCTTTGTATGTGTCTATTTGGTCTAGGAGAGGAAAGTGGGAAGGAGAGTAGTCCTGAGGCACTGTGCCCTTCTGGGAAGGGGCTGAATATTTTCATTGGATATTCAAACACATCAGTGTGCCTGCCTTTAATGTGACAGTTGCTGTGATCTGAAACAAAATAATGCAGCTAAGCACCTGCCATGCACCGCTGAATGAGAGCACGTAACTATGGGCTTTTGAAGCCAGCTTTCAAGTATGCAGTTCTAGAGGGGTTTGCAACACATTGTTGTGCCCAAGCAATGTGAGCATCACTGAGCTGATGATCGCCAGAGGAAATCTGTACAAGAGAAAGACTGAGCGAGGAGGAGGGACTAAGATGGCACAGTCAGGCAAGGGAGAGTGAGTCCTAGAGAGAGAGAGGGTGTGAACTATAGAAGAATGAGAGAATCAGAGGCTGGAAGAGAATTAAAAGACTGGAGCATTGGAAAACAGACTGGTGTGGACAGACAGGGGAAGAAGGGGAGGGGATCTGGGGATCTGTTCTGGAATGGGAAAGTACAGGTGTGCAACTAAAAAGAAAACCCGGAGGGGCATGTGTTTGTAAGGATGGTTAAGGGGGATTGTAAAATGTGGTTCGAAAACCATAGTGGCTGAGGGGTGACTGGGAGGTTTGGGAGACTGAGGAGGGAGAGAGGGAGGGAAATGGGCACAGAGGGAGGGGGAGAAAGGGAGGGGGCTGTACCTTCGGGAGAGGAGAGTTGGCAGCTGTGGTGGGGAGAGAGAGAAGAGGATCAGTCGAGGAGGGAGCTGGTGGTGTTGAGCATCACAGTGAAATCAGAACCTCTTGATTTCACTTGGTTATTTTCTCCTTTGTAAAGCCTTTTCTGGGTGCATTCAGAGCTGTGGCTGGGACTGGGATTTACTGTGTTTTTTCTCCCAGCGCTGGATGTCCTGCAGTGACAGTGGGCACTGCCATTGAGCACAGGGACTAGGGACTAAGAGTGGAGTTCTGGCCAATTCGCTAACATGCAGGTAGAGAATGCTTTCACTTATTTCCTTTCACCTTACTACAATTTTGTGGTTCTTGAATGTATATGTGTGTCACGATAGTTGCAAAACTGTTAGAAAAATGCATATTTTGAACAGTCTTTATGGATCAAAATAAAACAACCTGAGATTTATAAGTAGTATTGGGAAAACCAATTCCAAATCCATGTATACAGTATATCTCACAGATACAGTATGGTGGTTTTGAAGAAAGTACACCAAAGAGGAAATGGAGACAAAGTTACTCAAATACTCTACTTATTCTTCATTGCTTATCTTTTGGGACAGATGTATTTTTTTATTCTATAGATCAATAAAAATATTTCTGAGCATTTTGAAATCTCTTAGATTAACATTTCATTTACAGTTCCTTATGTGAAGTTATCAAAAAGAGTTTTGAACATGGCTTTTATAATCCCCTTTCATAGTGAATAAATGTACATTTAATTCTTCATACTGTATATGCTGTACAGTATACTCTGTATGCCTATAGAAGGCTCTATTATGTTTACCGGGAGGAAATAAAAGTGTAATAAATGTGACTAAATCCAATATTCATTTTTCTTATTACCACATCTGAGATTGCTTTTCAGGTTAATGTTTAAACAGCCTTCATCAAAGTCTGACTATCATGCAGTAAGGGCATACAGTATGTGTGGCATTTCTGTAGGTCCACTGATGAACCACAGACATAAGTGAACAGGGGAAAGAGCAACAGGCTACTGCAGCAGTAACTCATTTTTAGTTTGAGCATTAGATTGACATCCAAATAATATTTTTCAGGATATTCTTTGTCTCCTTTGAGAGCATGTGAGTTTGAATATTTATAATAAAATTAATTGCTTTAGTCACAACAGTACTTTCAGTTAAGTGAAACTTTGCAATATATGGATTATTTTCACTATTTTGGTCTGCTTGCATTTAACAATATTTACATCGCAGTGATGCAGATGTTGCTCTTTATTTTAATATCATATTATTTATGTATATTTTCAAGAGTTTCAATCTCTGGTTCATTGCCGATTATTGCAACAAGAGAAAGGACGAGTTGGGTTTTTTCATATAGAAATCGCTACAGTTCTTATGATGCTGTCCAATCATCACATTTCACTATGGGTTAAATTCACTAACAAAACTAAAGAATTAACTAAACAATCGGTCTTTTCTAACAAATAATGTACAGTAGCTACGGTTCTGTTTTCATCTAAGTTTTCTTTATCTTGAAGAAAATGATTTTCCGTTTTATTTTGTAATACTGAGAGCAACATTTACAGTATATTATTTCTAAGTCTACATTGCATATTCATTTCTAGTTTGACAACCTTTTTTACCTGTGCTTGCAAATTACTGTACTCGATTTCTTAAACTGGATATTTTTTTTCCTTTTGCATTTGAATGAATTTCTTTTTTTTAATTGTTGTTCTAACAATTAACACATTGCTTTGTGTTTTGGCTGTGTTGCCTTTCACGTATGAAAGCATGAAACTGGTCAATCCTTTAAGCAGAATATAGAAAAACTCTTTCCAGATATCTTTTCTATCCCAGGATAATCTTAAACCTTGACACACTCCTGAAACCTCAATCTTTTCAAACTTCAAAAAGAGTTACAAATGAGACGCGGTCATTCAGTCATCTGGCCCATTTTAGTAGGAAATGCCCTGTTTTAATGAATTACACGCAAGTGGTGTGAAGTGTGTGATTAACCAGATCTGGTTATCTTGTATGAGATGTACTGCCTATAATAGAATATGCAAAATATAACTATTATTGTTTTGATTCAAGTGCAGTGTTGTTACTGGCTGATACCATCAATGAATGTTACAACGATGGCAACTCTATACAATTATCACCACATTATATGACTGCTAAATACCTGAAGTAATTCTCTATATCCGAGCTAAATATTTAGTGTTTGAGGGTTTTTTGGGTTTCATCAGTTTTTCTGTTAAGTACTCGTTAGTAAATTAACAGTCTAGTTTGAATTGCTGTCTCTGTAGATCTAGTACTGACTCACAGCACTTCAAAGGAAGAGTAAATCAGAAACGTGTGCTGGGTCAGGCAGAGTCATGCAGAGTGTGGGCTAACTGGAGTGACAGCCCTCACTTTTAACTGTAGTGCCTCACTTCAGGTTTTAACCATTTTTGAAGTCTCACGGGGTTCTTCACAGGTAGCCACTTCATTTCCTTACGAATTCTATGACATCAAAGTGGGGCTGTGCTTGATGCTGTAATTTACTTGCCAAATAAGCCTTTTCTCCCACTGAGGGGGCTTGCAAGCAGGAGGCTTGATCACATGCTGAATTTGAGAATAAAGATGCATACTGACGCTGGAATTCTGCTGCCCAGGGTTGCAGAGATGCTGAGTTCATTATTCCAGATCACTGTTCATAGTTACTCACAGCCACCCAGCTCACAGAAAGCATCAAATCCAGCCTGCGGCATCATCTTCTCAATCTACTCAGTGCACTGAAAAGAACTGCTGAATGCTACTGCAAAACTTGCCCACGAATATTATGTACATTGTGCATTCCAATCATAATTGGATTTGTATCTATAATTGCAATGTTTCTGCAATGTGCCGTGGGCATGAGAGACCTCTTACGGTACTGTAGGTGTATTAATTGTGATAATATGTGCAGGGGTTCCGTCTTGTGTAATGTCAAAACAATGGGGAAATTAAATAAGATCCATTATCTTACTGAAGCATTTTGAGTGAATTATGGTTGCTTAAGGGTAGGACCTTAATCTGCAACCTTCCAATTCTGAATCCACAGCTTTAATCTCTGCTTCACACTGCCTCATGTATGCCTTTTAAAATTTCAGGCAGACTCATTAATTTCCCCGCTCTGTGCCCAAAGGCTTTGTTCAACATTGATTTCAAGGCAGTAGCCTCGAGCTATTTTTGTAATAAAAAATAGACAGTTTCATAAAAGCTTCAGTAAAAATTCAAGATGCCACTGATATTTTTTTTAATGAATATTTTAGTCTTTTTGTTTCAAGAAAAAAAAATCAGAAAGTCTTTCTGTCACTAAAAGTGTCTTCTTCGGCACTGAGGGAATGAAACTTTTTTTGGCCGTATGGCCTAAAAGACAGATCGTGTATAGATTTTGCTTTCCACAGTGCTAGTCAATAAGTAGTTCCTAGATTAAGCTTTCTGCCTTTTTAGCAAGTCACTGACAGTAAGAGAACACAGCAATATTAGGGTACTCTTAAGATGCTGTTCTACTGTTTGTCAGTTTTTTCATTATGATGAGTTCAGGAGCTCCATATTAGAAGAGATTTGTACCTGGAAATTTAAAACTTCAAGTACCGTGCTAACCCCTAACATAATTGTTAGATTAAAGTCCCTGCACATTTCAATAATCTACAAAGACTATGATTCCTTTAAAACTAAAAACAATACTGAAGCAGGCAAAGAGTAGAAGGAAAATGTGATATAAGGTAGAAGTTTGTAAGTAATCTCAACACTTTATCTGCACAGTTCACATTGGAGCACAGCCATTATTCTGTATCTATGCAATTCCCCAGGACAACATCAATACTATTATGCAAATACTATGCATTTACCAAATAGTGACATTTAGATCCCCATCTTCTTAAGTAATTAAAAATTAGTCAGCAAACGCAATGTTATAATTTGATATGAGACAGTTACTTAAAAATATGCCGGTAAGGTGTCTTGGGGTAACGCCTGTATCCTTTTTTAATTAACGATCTGATAGTTTAATATAAACCCTCTTCAAGAATAATTATTTTTTCAGATTGAATCACCTGCAACACTGAATGCACATTCAGTTTTGAATTCACTGTCTGAATTTACAGGCAATTTCTCTTGAAGAGAAATACCTGAAACAGTTTCTGAAAGTTGTAATATTAAAATGTTAATGATGAACAAGCTTTCATGCATGATACTCACTTGTGAGTTGGCTGGTGGGGTCAGCATTCAGACTCCACTCTTGTCTTAACTCATCATATGTCTTAATGTTAATGGAGGCAGAGAGCCACTGGAGCGAAAAAGTGTTTCAGTCATCATCTATTTATATCAGTCGATCAGTAGATCATAATGAATATGATAGAGGGATGAAATATGTACCGAATATTGGGCTTAACTCATCTAGCTGAGAGAATGCCAGCCTAACTGTGAGAATAAGGCTGCCCAGTCATATCCTCACTTTCACAAGGAATGAGCTAGGGAGCTGCTTCAAGGGTGTGAATGCATTGGCAGGTGGAGTAAGAACAATGCACAAAGAGAAGTCCGGGATTCGAGATGTATATATGTTCGGAAGTTGGTTTAAATTAGGATCTAATCTTTTTCTGGAATTTCTGTTATAAACTCCATATATTACGTCATTTATTTTCTGCCTTTTTTGTAGTGTTTGAATCCCTGACTTCTTTAGTGGTGCCAACATGCAGCTGAGACATACTCGGTAGTCTGAAAAGCACATCCTGGTACTCTTAATATCTTAAGAATTACTTGCATCTTTAGTTAATCTGATCTCAATTCCACAGACCACTGTCAGTATCCTCCTTTCCCTATCATTGCAGCCAGTTTTTCTTCATCCAAGAATTCAAAAAGGACTTGTTAAATAGCTTTTCCACAAGGCTATTTATGTATTGAAAATGTAATAGCGTAAAAATAAAAAATAAGTAAAATAAGTTTTTACAATTGTATTTCAACATCACATAGTCTTCCAAAGTCAAGTTTAAAAAAACATTTTAAATATTTAAACACCATATTGAGAAGATTTTCATTTTTATTACTGTTTTCTTTTTGAATCCCTAGCTCTAAAAGACCCATGTGTTTTTGGAAAAGTTATTAATCCCAAAGGGCTGTCTATTACCTGTAGATATCAAGATGCTCTTGGATGTTGTGTTTATCCTTTATTTAGCATTAAAAGATAATACTATTTTCTGTCTCAGTTCCCAGATAAGCAAGAAAATGAGAATATTCTCACCTGAAATGAAACATTCATCTTCTGTGTCGCTTGTTCTTTACTCCCTTCATTGTCTACTTTAATCTGTTTTACATAATTTCCTTTTTTTCTTGATATAGATTTATTTTCACATTCCAGCCAAGACAACGTCTCTAGCGTTTGAAATGCATCTTGATTTCCAGATTAAATAAAGAGCTAGAAACCTTGTAACCTCGTGAATCTAATTTAGGCCTAATCACATTACTCCCCAGTGCACTTAAGTCACTGCATATTAAGGAGCTTAGTATGAAATTAATTTAAAATCAGTCTGGAAAACTCAGGTAATTCATTCCAGCTTACTTTTTAAAATGCTGCTATGATGCTGCACAAAGTTGTGGTTATAAATGATTTAAAGAAAATGCACAATTACGTAAATCCTTTTTGGTAATGTCATGACCTGTTTAAGTGACTGACATGAAATTAATAGATTTAGGTATTAAAGGGCAAAAGTAATGTTTAATGAGAAATCAAGTCAGTGTTTAGTTACCCTTCTGTAATATTTGATACACATGTGACAGGAACCCCATGTATATACTGTACTTCTCGGCTGTTTCTTCATCAGAGTGTTAAAATGTTCTCTTTGCTTCCAACTATATTCACTTTAAAATATTTCTGTTTTAACTCTCATTACTGAAATGGTGATCATATGCCTACATGATCACTGGGACATTATTCTAAAACAGCCCTTATAAAGAAAATTGTAAAAAAAAAGTGTTAATTCCAGCATTATAGGAGAATTCAGTACTCAGAAATTTATATAGAAAAAAAAGTGATGTCTTCATGTTTAATCATTTTAAGTAGTAATTGTGAAGTGTAAACCTAATACTGTTCAGTATTCTAACTTAGTATACTAACAATTAGACAGTATGAACAGTTCCTGATTTGTGTAAAGGTGTCATTTTATAACAAGTTTTTTAGTGATTCCTATTTTATCATTCCAACCTGTCTCAAGTGTACTGGTAAACGTGGTTGTATGTTCACTCTAATTACAAGTCATAGAAAGGGAGAAAAAAAGAAAATCATGTTTTTGTATATCTGGAAACAGGGAAAGTCCCCTCAATGCTGAATCTGGTTTATAGAAGCTCATAGAATTAGCAAAATTCAGTTGGTGGCAAGGCCATACCGTAAGACTTATGTTTTAGAAAAATGTTGTGTGGTGATTTTTACGGATGCTTATTAGCACGCTGTAGATTTTTGTTTGCTCATCATTTCTTACTTTCAGTAAAATAACCTCTGTTTTGGAAAGTATCCAGTCATTCACTCCCTCACGTTATATTGAGCTGTGCTTCAGCTTCCTGTAGGTATTTCTCAACCTTTCTTTAATTTTTTGGTTTACATCGTCCAGGGAATTTTACATCCTAAGGGTTGTTTTTAGACCATTCTCATCCATTTATGTGGCTAAGGGAGGGGTCGGGGGGACTTGTGGATGGCAGACTGGTGCAGTCCATTCAACTCATACATTTTCTCTGCTTCTTCTCTCCTTCTGGAAGGGCCACCCTGCGGACCGCTACACTGGCCCAGGGAAGAGGCCTTCCTGGGGCTGCTGAGTGGCACCTGAGGTGTCTGGAATGGCTTCATTATCGGCAGTGTCGGCTCTCCTCAGTAACCTCACTGGGCCCTGGGGAACAAGGGGGCTGGCGGGCCCCACATGGGGACCCAACTCCACTGGGGCAGCTCCTGCCGGCCCTGGAGATGGGGACATGAGGGCTCCTCTCTGCACCTTCTGCTGCTGTGGCCTCCTGAACCGTACGCTGGCGGTGGTCTTCATGGTCAGCCTGGCCTTTTCCATTGTCATAGGCAATGTGGTCACAATCACGGTCTTCCTGCAGACGCGCCAGTTCCGCACACCACAGGGCTACCTCAAAGGTAACGCGCCACACACTCCCACAATCCCCTAGGCCCTGGCCAGTTCAGACCAGGAACTTGAGGGCTGTCGGGTTCCAGACTAGAAACATTATAAATGAGAGGAGCTGCTTAGTCCATGCTCATCTCATTGCTAGTACCTGACCGAGCTAAGAACGCTCTCTCTTCTTTCTCTCTTCTTCTTTTTAAAGGGTTTCACATGGAAATGTGAAATATGAAAGCAGAGGTGGTTCCAGACTCAAACAGCCCCCTTTGCAAAGCAGTGTCTCCTGTTTTCTCTCTAGGATAGCCCTAAACCTAGTTTCCAATTGTGTTCCAGGGTATTGGTGTTCCTACTGATTTTGAATTGGTTTTGGTCAGTGTCTTTCAGGAATTTAAATACCTGAATCAAGTTCCCACACAATCCAGTCAGTTCTCTTAGACAGTTACAGTAAGACATTCCTTTCAGACCAGGTAAAAGTCTGGATCCCCTTTCTGTATTGCCTCCAGAGCAGCAATAGCCTTTTTCAAGCATGGGCACCAAAATTGAACGCAAAATCTCAAGTGAGGTCTAGCTAATGCACTATGGCGTTTTAGCATGATTCATCTTTTAAGTGATGAATGTGCACGAAACAATAAATAATCCACGTTTTGCTTAGAAAATGTTCTGTAGGAGGTTACTTTTCATAAAAGAAGACTTCATTCACTTTCAGTGCCTATTCTCTTTCATCCATTCTGAATAAAATGTAGTTAACTACTCATCGCATTTTTCATAAAGGTCTTTGAGAGATTTTTCATGAAAAGAAAAAAGGAGTTGGTAATAAAGAAATACCTTTTCTTGCCATTGCTCAAACATGAAAGGATCTTAGTCTCTCTACAAATTCTTTGTAACTTTAATAGTAGCTTTATATGTCATCTAATCTCACACTTGTGAGTGCAAAGTACTGAATTCTGGCACATTTTGTTTTTCACTGTATTTATGTACATTTGAGCATATATATTAAATGTGGATACTGAATTTTGCACAACGCCACACAAATGGCAACACACAAATGGAGGATATTTCTGTTACATCTGTAAATAGCCTTTAATTCCAATATACTATAGTAAAATCAAATAACAAAAACAGATCTATATCTGAATTTATATCAATATTTGTGGGTACACTTCATGTATGTAAACTGTATTATTCCTTGCAATATCCATAATTGCCCAGAAGGAGCCACTATATCTCCTAAACAAGTCATTAACCAGAGACTGCATGAGAATGCAGTACTCTATATACAGTATAGTTACTCTATAGGTCTGCTGAGCTATGAATGCCCTTCTGTTTTCTATACAGAAAATATTATCACGTGTCTTATATTTTTTTTCTTGAATGCTGCAGCCAATTTAAAATGGAAAGATAAACATCAAGGACGTTTCCTCAATAGGCATTCTGTATTAATTTCTCTATTACGGCAGACCTCTGCTGCTGTCAGATTAAATCATCCCAAACAATAAACCACATTGCTAAAATCATCAATTACCTTTGGAATGTTTGGAGTATGAATATCCAATATCAAAGTCATTTTGTCACAAAAGGAAATGTGTTCCACGTAGGAACTTTTTCTTCAAAATAAGTTGTTCAAAGGCTCAAAGCTAGCTTTCATTTGGAAAGAACTACATTGCATCTTGAAAGCCCTGTGGTGGATCTGGGACAGAGTATATCTTGACCTTAGAAGATCAAATGCTGGCTGTCTTGTTTAATGTAACCGATTTCCTCTTGTCAAGTCTTTATTATACATAATGTGTGACTGCAGATTCTGTTCCGGTCTTTGAACCTGGTTAACTGCCCTTCTTAACAAATAATGATAAAAAAAGAACAGCACAGAGTTGTCTACACCCAGCATGGCACTTCGTCCACTTTTCAGTGTGTTTGTAATAGCTTCTGTCTGGATGCTAATCAGCTCGTATAATATTCTCCAGAGATTGAAAAAAGCAAAGCGTAGTAAGTATTAATGAGCAATGATGTTTTGTATCATGTTACTGAAAAAGCAGAAATATTAAAAACCGGTTACTGTGTTGCCCTGACAGTGTCCCTGGCATTGGCAGATATGATGGTTGGCTTGCTGGTGGTGCCCTTCTCCGTCTACACAGAGATCACACTGATGGTGACCAGCACACCCCCTGCCTGGTACCAGGGGGACTCTGTGGCAGCACGTGGGGGCCTGGGAAGCTCCTGGCAGCCCTGCAAGCTGATTGGCCCAGTTTTTGCAGGCTGCACCTTCGTATCCATCAGCACCATTTTCCTGATGACCGTGGAGCGCTGTGTGGCCATCCTGAAACCCTTGCATAAGGACTCCATATTGACCCATCGGCGCATCCTGCTCCTCATCGCCCTCTCCTGGGTGGGCAGCTTCCTTCTAGCCCTGGCACCCTTAATCCTGACCAATGGCTTCACGCTGGAGTACAATGAGTGTAGTCGTATGTGCAACTACGCCCCCCTGTGGGATGGTAAGCCCCCTCCACCCAAGGGGAACGTCTTGCTGCTCTTCCCTGCCTTTGACCTCACGTTGTTAGGGGTAACCCTGGTGGTCAATGTCATGTCCTTCACCAGCATCCGGCGCTATTCCCAGAAACGCAAGCTCCTGGCCGAGGGGGGTCTTGGAGGGGACAGTAGCACTGGCGGGTGCTCACAAAGACCATCCTTCTCGGACATCAAAGCGGCCAAGACAATTGGCATCCTGACATTTGCCTTCACGGCCTCCTTCTTCCCCATTGCTGTCTTCGTCCTGGGCAATGTGGTGGGATATCAATGGTGCAACTTCTCCTTCTTCGCCTTCTGGATCCTGACCTCCAACAGCTGCTGCAATGTCATCATCTACAGCGTGCGGGACCAGCGCTTCCGAAAGGGGGTGGCTGTGCTGTTTCGAAAGGAGCCGGTGCCGCCACATGGAGAGAAGAGCTGAGACTCCAGGTATCCACTTCACTTCAGGGACTAAGCAACCAACTCCAGGGATTCTCTTTAGTTTTGGCCAATTGGACTTGTTTGTACAGTACAGAAGACGCTTGATTTATCACTGTGTGTCTGTCTTGGTTTTCTATTTAAGAAGCCAGATAGATCGACGATTGTTTCCATTTTATTGATGAACTGTGAGAAAAGCAAAGCTGGTAATTGTCATCAAATGTCAGATTATCCCAAATTTAAGTGGAGAAAGTATTTTATTTATTAATATGATGCTATTTTATATATTAGCATAGAAGAATTTCTGGAACATTTGGCCCAGTTTGTCTCTGAGTGCATGTTGTCCTTTTAATTAACTTTATTCAGAGGAAATACGAACAGTGGTTCAAGTCAATTGTTAATGTAGGATTTTACTACCACCGAAATGTGACTTGAATTGTATTATTCCAGTCACTTTCAGTTGAGACCGTATTGTTGTATGTTACTTCATCTGAGAAGACAGGTCGTCCTGCTTGAGAGCAAAACAGCAAAATACCTAATCTTTCAATACAGTACTTGTAACAAATAACAGGAATCAATGAAGCACTTTTCAAACTGCATTATTTTACTGTGTTCGTTTATGGTGTGAAACAATAGTGTCAACTGTGGAATGCTGAGAACAAATGTTTAAGGCTACAGAGTGCACTTCCTAACAATAAAAACAAGCAGGTTTTTTTTTTTACTTTCGACAGGCCCAGTACACTATTAGCATCAGTTTTTTTACAAGTATACAGACATCATCACGGAAAGAAAAGGTAGCATTTTGATTTCTCCAGATTCAAAAGATGGGTTCATTGCTTTTCCCTAAAGAGAGGTTCTCAGTATTCATTTTTGGGGATCCCCGTGTCTTATGGTTTTTGTTTCAGATTAAGTGAAGTTCTTAATCGTACACAGATTGATTTGGGTTTTCTACTTTAGGTGTGTTTTTAAATTAGTTGGATGCAGTTTGTAATTCTTATGAACCCTGTGCTAGGAGTACCAAAAAATTCCCCCAGGTGCCTGAGCTGGAATGCAACCAGTTTGAAGGGAAAAAAACACATTATCAGACTCACTTGCATCAGTCTACTAGAAATTGATTACCTATAAAGAGTATTGAAAGAGTGAGGAGTGAATGTTCTATATGCTGAGTCCATTAGCTGTAACATAAGGACTGAAACTAAGGACTAAATGCAGAAAAAAAATGAACAAGCAGATCAATTTTATACATCAATTTGCACCAGTGGTTAAGGAGAACAAAAGTTAGCAGACAGTCATGCTCTGATACCAAGAATGTGAACCACCGACCTAAACAGACACACTCTCCTTGTTACATTGTAGTGCCAGTCCTCACTTACAAAATAAAGCTATCCAGTAAAATTACAACAGGAGTAAGAAAGATATAACAGTTTTCCTTGGTTGTCATTGATGTCAAGTGTGGCCGCTGGATGTTTTTTCTGAATTGTTTTTTTAATCAGTGGAGGAGATAGTGATCACAGCGTCTTCACTTGAATCATGGTATTTCCCTAATGCAAAAAGATTTTTCGATATTCTTAAGCCATGGTTTCGTTTAATTAATAGAGATTTGTATTTCACATCGACAGCATTGAGTTTTGATGTGCTGTTGAAGTGAATATACAGGGATAGATACAAATATATGGTACATGCACAAAAAACATTTTGATCTGACTTTGAAAATAACATTTTAAAAGTATTATTATAAAAAAGAGATTATTATTACAAAATCCCATTTTGTTTTTTTCACTGTTGCAATGTTCTATCAAAGACAACAAACATGAATTCCAATTTTTCCTTGGTAAAGCAAAGTTTTCTGGGCAATAAAGTGAGAGACCACATTCTGTTAGTGCATAAAAATATAATTTTTTCTACCAACATTGCTTTCATTTTTTTGGTCAATCATTTGTAACATTACCTGGCTAAATATATTTCTCTAACACATTTTTGGTTTCTTTTATTTTAGCTATACAACTGCTGGTCTGCGCTCTGTCCAGTAATTATACCTGGGGTGAAATATTTCTTTTTAAGGAAATATAGTGACATCTGATGAAAATTAAAATCAATGTATAATTTAATAAAATGGAAATGTAATGGGTACTTAATTGGTAGATTAAAGACAGTTGGTTAATTTGACTGTAAACATGCTGCTTTAACTTTATTGCACACCTACAGTATAGATTATACTTTCATTCTACTCCTCAGAGTCTGCATAATTGTTATGGATGTACTTCTCTTAATGAACACATTTACAGATGATATGTGGATAATGTACTGTATATTACCAGCATTGCACTATTCACAGAGATGGCAAATTTTCATATTTTCTAATAGAGTTTTTAAAATAAAATTTTTGATTGTTTTTTGTTTCTCCAAAAGCCTGTTGACATATGATATCATACGATTTTTGCTGGATAAGAATACTGTTCTGCCAAAAACAATCAATTACATTTGCTTCAGTAGTGATAGAGAGAGAAGGTAGACTAGCGCACATCACTGCTAACTGGGCCAGGTGAGGGAGATTAAGAGCCTTTTCACAGCTTGTCTTCTGATAATGTACAGTATCCCCACTCAGCTGCCTTTACGGGATGAGAATTTCTCAATTTTATTCTTCGAAATCACTTCTCAAGATTGCTCAGTTTTTTTTATTTATCCTGCAAAAAGTGTTGGCATTAATATAAAGGAGTTTTGTTCCTGGGGATTCATAAATTAATTAAATGGATTCAATGAGTGAGTTATTTTTAGTGAAACCTCTGGAAAATGGGATCACACTGTTGGAACATCTGCGTTTTTTTCAGACTTGAGTTCTCCTTACACAGTCCATCCCAATACCTTGTCGGTTTCTTAAAAGTGGCTCCCACTGGCAAAAGGAAAATGTTTTGATTATTGTGGAAGAATAACCATGCACATTCTTTGTAAGTAGTTTAATTCAAAAGCTTATTTTTTTTATTAAAACTTGACTTAGAAATTTAGACTCATCGCATCTGTTCCGATGTCATCTTTTTGGAAAGTTAAATCGTAATTTTGGGCGTAAAAGAATGGTTTTGAAATGTTCAGATGTTGCACAGTGGAAGGCATGGTGTGATATAGGCAGACAGAGAAAGATCAATATGCTATTACTGCCTGTTGACAGCCTTCCCGCAAAAGATCATTTAAAGCAATGACACAGATACAGGAGATTTTTAAAAAAATTAAATCATTAACTTATAGTAACTTATGTGCCCCCAAGTCCGCTGCATCAATATCAGGTCTGAAAATGATTTCTGAGGGCACTACTTAACATTTGTGCCAGGGATAAGACTAATATTAACCACTTTTTGTCTTCTGAATTATGCTTTGCATCAAAGTCAGCCTCTTGGTAAGATAGTGTGGTTCATTATTTAAGAATGTTTTCTTTTTACTTTCTTTGTGGATTAAGAGTGAATGCTGTCTGATAAAATCTTTTATCCCAAAAATCTATTTGTTGCTCCCCAAAAATGGCCTTAAGTATTTGTATGCTTTGGTAAAACTGGAAAGAGCAACAAGCTAGATACGTTGCAGAACAACTATGAATGCTTGCTAAAAAGCTAAAAGGCAACATTTTGTGAGATAAAGTGGCCAAATAAGGTACTTGCTTATTTTATGTTTAATGAGATTTATGTCATAAACATTTTCAATTTTCTGAAAACCTTTGCTGCAGGAATCATTTCATAGTAAATAGATTTCGATAGTGTGTCCTTAACTTCTGTACATGAAAATCTGTTTACTTCTAAAGATTGGAATGAATTTGATTTTTTTAAATGTCCCCTAAATGTGAAGTCACTCATCTTTAATCAGAATTGTTAGTGATCTACAGTAATGACCTAATAATGGGGGACCAACAATTACTGCAGGTTAATGTCTCTGTGCAGTTTCCAAAATGAATGCTTTTTATTTTATTTCAATCTAATTATGACTCTTTTTTTCACCCCTCTTTTTTTGTATTCCCCTTCAGACATAGAAAGTTTTTCCCTCAAAAATATTTATGTAAATGTCGTGTATTGTTACAAGATCGACTCAATTTAATCTACGTCTGTGTTTTAGGCCTCCTTTAAATCTGGGAGTTTGTGACATATCTAACCTTAAAAGCCAGGGTGCTTATATCTTCTTTCCAAAAACTAAGCTATTAAATTCATCATCCCTCTGTATTTTTCAGCTTGTTTCATCATAACTAAAATTTGTCTGAACTACTGAAGTAGTGTTTCTAAACATAAGTTCGGGAGGCTGTCAAATTGTAATATCGCTCTTCTGCTTTCTTACAGAAAAATACTCTGCTTACCACAACTTTCCATATGTTATTTCTAGCTCCCCTTGCTCCACTGCAGATTAACCCTTGTAGCTCTGGTTCATTCCTTGTAAGTGAGCGGGGTTGTGACAGCACTGATCTTTCAGCCAAGACTGCCATTTCCTCAGCCAGGTGAGTTATCGTCAAACACTGAACTGTTAAATCTGCTATCCCTTTATATTTGTCACCTCTTTTCATCATATTTAGGACATGACCAAACTACTGAAGTTGTAACTGTACTTGTAGTGTGGGTATATTTTGGTGGTCTGCAACATATCAGAACATCAGTGTTAATGCATATGTGATCACTCTACAATCTCTATCTTGATTTAAGAAGCTTCTTATAACAATGTGAGATCTCATCAGAGCATTTGATACTGCATGTGTGTGCCGACATGCAGTTTAACATCAGTATTTCTGATTCAAATCAATTGGAGTTTGTTGAAGGTGTGCACTTGGTGGCATGTGTTAATGGAGTTCATTTTTCTATTTTTGCACATTATGGTGTGACTGAGTTCATTGAGCATAATTATTCACGCCTTTGTGCAAATCCCATTAGGGCTGCATTTGCCAGTATGTCTGTGTGTTGTGAGGGTGGGTATTTCAGTTTGTTTGTGCCCTCCAAAGATCATCAGCATTACTTTCCTTTATTTAATTATGTTTTGGACAGACAACATGCTTTCTGTTTGTATTTTTTAATTTTGTAACCCAGCTGCTTTCCAATTATATCCCAAGACAATCACTAGCAATGTGTTTTTCAGAGACCAAATAAATAAATGCCGACACATCTACTTAAAATGCAGCTCATTAATATTCTGCAGTTTTCGGCTTGTTATATAGATTGTTTAACTGTTTTTCTTGTGCAGGACACAAATATTTGCAAAGTATTTGCAGTCACATGGGATTTGACACCATTTTCTTAAAATGAAAACCTTTTTTTGTTTTGAGGAAAAAGAGGTGTAATATTACAGTGGTGTTAACAAAAACTTCAGAAATACAGCCTTGTGTGACAGTCTGTAGTATTGTACAGTTTATTTTCGTTATCATTCCGCTTATCATTCCGCTATTTTCTGTTTGTTGCTTAAGCTGAGACAACACTGTGAGCCTTACCTGACAGGAAATACTGCAAAAAATGAAAGTAGGGACATTTTTCTGTGCTCTAATGGTGCTGATGATGAACTAGATAGAGGGCTTTAGATCATAATCTGGGATAATCTTAATCTTTACAAGTATATGTACAGTATATGACAATAAGGATAAAGATTCAGAAATGGATAGGTTTCTTTACACTTTAGCTAAGTTTATGTGATATTTTACATTACCAATTATAACGAACATTTCATATTGGTGTATCTATCAAGAGGGTAAAAACTGACATGCACAACAATATTAAAAATGATGATGATGATTATTATAATAGTTATTATTAAGATAGCAAAAATAAAATAATTTTCACTAATTGCTATTGTATATTCATCTGCTGTGGAACAACTGGGATTTATATGACTGCAAAAGTCTCCCATCCGTTTTCTAACTGCTTCATCCAATTCAGGGTTGTGTTAGAGCCACTTTTCTATCCCAGCAAACAATGGGCAGAAGGCAGGATACACCCTAGACAGGACACCCCTCCGCTACAGGGCACGACAAAAACAAACACACCAAGGAGCAATTTTCCCAAAAACCAATTAACCTACCAGTATGTCTTTGGACAGTCAGAGGAAACCACAGCACCCTGAGAAAACCCATGTGAACACTGCAAGATCATACAAACTCCACACAGACAGCACCCCTGGTCTGGGATTGAACCCAGAGCCCCTACACTGCAAGGCTGCAATGCTGCAATGCTACCCACTGCACCACCTTGCCTCCTTTTTAGTTTTATGATCATGTAAAGACAAGGCCTGGCAATGAGTCTGGTTTGATTTGGTAGATGTGATGGATGAACTACTGCAACACGTCTTACAGGCTCCTCATGTTTAGTACACCTTGAGTGACAGTGATCACATTTTTGAAGACTCTGACCTATGTGAAATGACAAGCATCTCACTTCCAGTTTACTTTGTCTGGGATGACTGATATCTTTGCACAGCTGAGTATATATTTCAATACAGCAGTATCAGTTAAGCAACACTGGGTACAAATGGCTTCCAAAGATGCACGAATGCCTGAGAGGTGGCTTCATGAGAAGACCTGAAACAGGGCTGACTGGTGGTGTTAGTACCTGGAGGAGTAGGGCATTGTCTGGCAAGGTAGCACTGTACCTTCTCCCCAGAGCTGAGGGAGAGAAGTCCAAATGGTATAGGATGACTCCCAGGTATTCCCTATGCTTTACCATTAGTACACAAATGCATGGTCTCAAAGACTGTGTGATGAGAGGGTTAGTGATTGGAAATGTTACTGGTTGTTAGTGAAGACCATGAATTTGTATATGCTTTTGACAATCTGCTCGCCTCTGTGCCTCAGTCCCCACATACTCTGTTGGTGCTTGGTGCTTTGAAGAGTAAGAGTGAAGACATAAATTGATCATTTTACTGCAGACTGAGAATTGGGCGAAACAGATTTAATCATGTTGAATACTCTGGTGCCTGATTGTGTTAAAATGAATAGTAGGTGGTGAGCAGTAAGAATTGTGCAACAGATTTAATGAGGTTGAATACTCCTGTGTTTATTCATCAATGAAGACAAGGTGAAGAGTTGATGAGAAGGTCTATGAAATAAAATGAGCACAAAATGAGCAGTGCTTTGGGATTAATTGAGGTAAAGACTGACGATTCATCGAGAAGATCTCGTGTTTAATGTAAGAAGAATTAAGTGAATAGCAACCTGGAAAGAAGAAGACTGGGCAATCTTTCCTGAAAGGAGAACAACATGAAAGAGATAAAATCCTGGAGTGCAATCAAAAGACAAGTGCAGACACTGGCAGACTTAGAATTAGGGTAGTGTGTATCGGCAGTGGTGCAACTTGAAAAACATCTAGAGAAAGCTGTACTTTCTATTTCAGCATGGAATTAACTTTTACTACCTTTACCCCAAGGCAGATTTGTGTATTTCTCTGCTTATAGTGCTTGGGACCAGCTTTCCCTTTCCTATAAGGTGTATGTTTGTGCTATGGGCTGTCATCTAGCAGACAAATGTATCTTGAAAGTGAAGTGACTACCTGCTAACTTTAGAATTTAAAATTACAATTACAATGTACTGGAAGATGATTTCATTCTAGAAAAATTGAAGATGTTTTACACATCAAACCTTTATTTTCAACTACAAAACAGCACCTTTAAACAAAGGTTGAGTAAAAACTATCTAGTATCAATATTGTGTTTTTAAATAAATCTGAAAAAATGAACAGACCATGTGCAAATAGTGTCCAGACAAGCAGCTCTATATGACATGACAAAAATATCATATTGACCTCTTTTTGAATTAAAAAAATCTCCACATATAGAAGATTATATATAATATAATTAGTATGGTAACATGAAATGCCTCAGATAGAGAATTAGCATACATAAAAAACGGAATTACTGCAACTATAAAATGTTCAGAAGTATATGCTTCAATTTTAGAAATTAACTAGGAAAAG